GGCTCACCCCTGGGCTGCCCACCTTCCTGCAGGAGAGGAGAAAGAGGAAAGGATACCCACAGGTCCCAGCTCTTAGGTTTTCAAGAGATGTGCTGCAGGACACCCAGCATCCCTGCAAGCCCTGCTGCAGGGCCCTGCACCTCTCCATCCTGCATTCCCTGTTTAAATGATGACTATCCTGATTCTGTAGCTGTTAGAACAGGTAAGTACAAGCATTCTTAAACTTTAACTGTCAGTTTTTATTACCGACTGCAGGAACAAAATTCCTCTTTCTGCTCCAGTTCTTACCCTGGCATGCCCAAGCCCTTAACATCAGCCCGGGGATCTGCAAGCTATTGCTTCAAGTTGTCTGAAATCAGACAAGACCAAATTTACCGTTTCCTTATTGACAACACTCAGAGCACATTGAACCACCACATGTTTCCCTGTGGTAATGAGTGTAGGAGCACACAGGAAGCAGCTGAAAACAAATGCAATTCCTGGCTAACATTAATTTTTATTTTTCCAAAAATAAAGTGGGACACTTAGAAAAGTCATGCAAAAGCTTGAAAAAAATATATATATTTAAATGTAGTCACACTTTAAATAGCAATAAAGAAAAATTACCCAGAGGAATACATCATATATAACTTAGCCTGACCTTGTACATATCTTGGCTAATAACTATTGTTTGGAAGTATATATGTTCCATTTAGAACAGAAGGCTTAATTCATCTTTCTCCAGGAACAGAACAGCAAGCTGACACTCTGTAAATCCTGCCTTTCCATTGTTTAACTGAGAAGTCTCAGTGCAGATGTTAGGAAAGAAAGCTCAGGGAGAAAATTCACAGGCATTTCCCTGGCCCATGAAAATAAGTTCTTGATTAGAAGCAAAACCAGCCCATTAGAAATTAATCTAAACTAATTACATCTGAACATAAAATAAGTTATGAATTGCAAATGTTTATCTTTCCTCCAGAAATATTTCTATGTTTAAACTACTTTTGAAATTCAGACAAGATCCTTTACTTAGGTAGGAAAATATTATAAACTATTTCTGTAATTAAACTGATTACATATGTAAAATTTTTCATCTGCTTCCTATTATAAAGCTGTTTGGCAGCTGCACGGAACCAGGACAGAGCCCACTAAGGGTCACAGCTTTTCCTGGTGCAGTGAGGGTAAGATGGAGCTACTGCTGTTTACACCAGGTAAGGATCTGGTCTTGAAAGCAAACAGATCCTCTCCTGCAGATTTGCAGTTCCAGCAGTGGCAGAATAACCAAAAAAATCCCACCTGAGGGTGCTGGACAAGGTGAAAAATCATCTACAAAATTGCCAGAAACCGTATGAATTAATTAGCATCCCTTTCCATAGTAAGGAGGAATATTGTGGCAATGGCATTTCTTTGTAAATTAACGGCTGTCCAAGTAAGTATGAAAATCTAAACCAGATATTTAAAATGTATCAGACAGTCAGTTTATTAATTAGTCCATTGTTTTCTTTTTCTTATAGGCTCTCTACTGTGGTCTTCACCCAAGCAGGAGTTCTGCTGCAGTCAACAAAGTCAGTGGAAATATATATGAATGTTCCTGCACAGGGACAGCAGGGACATTGACATGTGGTTTCCATTGTCCTGCGCATAACCTCTCAAAGATATTTTGGGGGAATACTTTATTTACATTTTCTTTAACAAAGAATATGTTTACCTTCTTCCTAAAGATTACCACATGTCAAAACACTTCCAAATCTAAATATTTCACAAAAGAGAATCTGCATAATTAATAATGTATACACATTAGGTGAAAGAATGGAGTAAAAGATGTTCTGAGTACTCACAGCTCTCTTGCAACGTGCTACAGGCAGTACCTTGATTTTCTGCAGGTTGCCAGTCTTCGCCAGTGCTGGCCAAGTTTCTGCTGCTTAAATATTTACTCAAAGGGCAACTAAGAGATTTGTAAGTGTGTTGTTGTTAAAACAACAACTGCACACTGCGGTCTTTGTCGTGGCATGGGGCACAGCCTAAGGGTTCAAGCACCCTCCGTGATCCTCTGGCGCACTGAGAGGGGCGACCACTTGGTGCCAGTTCTCACCAGAAGAGCTATTTTAGTCCAGGGCTAAAACGCTCTCTGAGAAAAGCTGTTGTGTCACTTTCTGGTTGCACTGCAATTCAGATGCTTTCTGGTAATGTGGCCAATTTGTATGTTTCAAACACTCTTTTCAAACACGGGTTCACTCCTCCACCTTGTCTGATCTGCGCCTGGTGTTCTCATCAACGGTGACCGGTGGGACATGTTCTTCTCCTGTAAGGAAAGTAGTAGGTCTAATTTGTTCTTAGGGAAATAGGAAGGCAGCAGTGGCCACCTAACATAGGAGTGACGAAATGTTTCCCCCTGTTACAGAGTGTGAGGAGCGTGTTAACATCTTGCTGGAGCGTGTGACCGCAGCACTGGAGGTGCCACTCAGAGGCAGACGACTGGAGAACTAAAACCGGTGGGTTTCGCAGCACACAGGAGCTGTGGGGTCAGCATGACCCCTCAGCCACTGGGGCCTGAGCAACACTGCCAGCTTTTACCATTCCACAGTGATAGCAGATCACTTTCTGTAAACCCATGAAGCCAAAAAAGCTAGAGTGATGATGATACAGGCAGAGGAGACACTGCTGAAGACTGGATGAGAGCAACTGCAACTGCTAACCAGCTTGCCAACTGAATAGAAGCAACTGGTGACTGATTTCTATCTGCTTGCTGCCTTTTCCAGACCATGCAAATCAAGGGTGGCATTCTGAAAGAGAAAAGCACCTGGGCACCAGCACTGGCAGGGAGAGGAAGGCTCACAGGCACCTGCTGGTGGAGCCTGTGGCTGCACAAACCACCAAGGGCCTCCTGCAGATGCACTTCCAGGATGGCAGTGGGAAACCTAAGCATGGAGCCCCAGCGTGGCTGCAACATGTGGAATGTCAGCCTGGACAGTGATGCAGCTCCAGTTCCTTGATGAGTTATTAAAACCTTTCTTTCCTAAATTAACTTGAGGAAGATATTCATAAAAGACCACTCTGGTACGGTGTTTTATCAGCCACAGGTTTCTATCCTTGGTGGTTTCAGGATGGTGATAAGGTAAAACTGTCCCTTGTTTGGGGCACTGGCCCACAACAAGTGCATTTTGTACCTCCCCATTTCTCAGTCCTTAGAATTTTTCCCTGGGTGTTTTTCACCCGTGTCTCCCTGTGTTTACCTCTTGATGCCATATCAGCATTTAATGAACAGCACATCTGACCTACAGAGGCCACAAAACCATTGGTAGGAAGGAAAACATTCCCAAAACTCTTTTCATAGCTGCAGTATTTAAAAGTTTAACACAGAGAAAAGGAGGAGTAAGGTGTTTTCATCAGCTTGTTACTTTCCTCTGCCAAAAGAAGGCACCTTGTTATCACACTGACAAAGGGCATTGAGGGCTCTGCTGGGCTCTCCATTAGGAATTGAGTTTTGCCCAGTCAGTAAAAGCAGCAACAACTGGAAAACACCATAAATGCACCCTAAAAGCCACACTCATCAACCAGACCAGCAGGATACACGGTGTGGAAAATTCTGATCCTCTTCTTCCTTCACACTAACTCAATTGCCTAAGAACCATCTGGAGACAAGACTGGTCACTCATGTCACATGTGAGCAGTGACAACTTGCACGTCTGAGAACACTTATTAGATCCCCCATCAAGACCAGGGGCACTTGCAGCTAAATAGAGGAAAGGCTGAAAATGAGCACAGTTTTTTCCAGTTTTCAGAACTCTGTTGCCCATCTCAAAACAAAAACAAAACAAAACACAAAAATTATACAGCTCTTCTTTTATTTTTTTAAAGCATATGTAGTAGGTGACCTTTGAGGTGCACTTTCACCTGCTGGTCCTTCACAGTAAGGATGAACAGGCTCAGGAACGGCGAGAAACTGAAAATTCAAGGGCAAATGAAACAGCAACGGCCACAAAATTGGACAAGTGTCAATATTTACTGGGCTGGAGTTAGCACAGTGTGTACTGTTACAGGGAAGGGATGCTTTGTTCCTCGAGCAGGCGGCTGGCGGGAAGCTGCGGCGCTGGTGGGGACACGCTGCTGCTGCTGCTGCTGCTGCACAGAACCACAGAGGCTCCAGGGCTCTTCTCACCCAGCTTTTTCTGAAAGGCAAGTTTTGGTTAAAAGCTTTGCCTGGAAGAAAGCTGAGCTGCTAATGAACAAGATGAGCCAAGTCAGTTGGTTTTTTTTGGTACAGTATTCAGCCATGTTTTCATGCATTTTTGTGCGTGGGGCAAACCCAACGTTTTCTTCCTTCCTTCCTTTCAGGGCTCATGTAGGGAGAACTGAAATCTACCTCAGGAGTTAGCACGGCGGTGGGTTGGGGTTTTCTGTAGGACATCTGGCTGTCGTGGCACTTTGCTGCTCACCTAGTGTGGTGCTGCTGTAGAGAAGAGCCAACAACATGTGGGAACTGCTACTTAGAAGCGTAAGGACCTGCCCGAGCTGCTGCTGCAAACATGGGATTGGCTCTACCAGGACAGAAACAGGTGTTGACTCCTTCCGACACGATTTATTTGATCTCCTCTCTCTACATCCCCTCCTCGGGCCTGTTCACCTCCATGCAAATCCCGTGCTAAAATGTTATCTATGGAAAACCTGCCTTGCATGTGCACTGCTCGTGAAATAGGCATCATTAAATTTCACTAAGCCTATGGGGTTTTATATAGGTTCAGACACTCTAAGACATGGAATAGAAGAGTTCTGGCCAACTTCTGTCAGCCTATAGACTTATTAGGTACCCCAATCCAAGGAAACCAGGAATGCAAGTGTTCCTGTCCAGAAATATCCCGTTAAGACTATTTTATTTGAATCACAGCTCAGCTAAAAAATACACAGTTCTCTTACACCCTTCAATCACCTCTCCCTGTTACGATGAAAGTACATTTTTCATGCTTTTTATTACAATCATCTCCAAGGCAGACGTGCCAATATCTGAGCATATTGGAAAGATCTGAAGCTCACAATGTATGTATCCATCACAGTTTACATGACATACATCAGTAACCTGCACGGGACTGTTAGGCAACTATATTTGAACTAGTTGTATTTCAAACAGGCCCAGGTAGGGTGTGACAAGTTTGTTTGGGCTGGACTGAGGATATTTGTGGGATGTGAGCTGAGGGGGGACAGTCTGCAGCCCGGGCTGCTCATACACGTATTAATTAACCTCTTTATTCAGGGATCAATCGACACCACCGTTAGTTTTATTGACTTTATAATTAGCAGGATGTTACTTTTGCTTGAATTGAGCTGTTTTAACCTAACGTAAAATCTATCGCTTTCCACCCGTGCTTTTGCTCCTCAGAGCCCCCCCACCCACCCGGGAGGGGTCTGTGCCTGGGGGGAACACTCTCCCTGCCCGCGGGGACCCTGCCGGGCCCTGAGCTGCCCTTCCCTCTGCCTCAGCCCGACGCTTTCCCAAGGAGCCCAGGGGACAGAGGCGGGGGATGAACCCCAGGGGCTGCGCGTCCTCTGCCCCCGCGCCCCGCCATCCCGCGGGCTGCTGGCGAGGGAGGGACCTGTCCCTCGCAGGGACCCCACGACGGGCTTCTTCCCCTCACAAGAACCCCACGACGGACTCCTGCCCTTCACAAGAACCCCATGGCGGGCTCCTGCCCCTCACAAGACCCCCAATGCGGGGTCCGCCCCCTCCACAGA